CGCTGGGACGAGCCGGGCTGGGACGGATGCACCCGCGCGGAGGCTGCAGCACCTCCCCGGGGACCGCTGCTGGGACAGCACACAGGTGCAGAGGTTTGGGTTGCACGAGATGCCACATGCGCTGCCCAAAAGCTTCCTGCCCAGAGTCTGTATCACCAAAGATAAAACAACCGGGGTTACAGCAGAGGCACAGGCTGCCCAGCCCCTGCCTTGCAGCTGGCATAAAGCAGGCTTTCCCCACCCAAGGGCGGCAGAGGTGACAGGCCTCGCGGGGCAACGGGGCCAAAGGCAAACCCAGCTGTTGACATCCCATCCCGTAGCCACAACACAGGGCTGGGCAGAGGCTGGATGCCATCCCCACTGTGTACCAGGAATTTCCCAGCTCAGCACAATTCCCTGGGCTTCTTTTTGCTCCACCTCGGGAGACAGAGCTGGGAAAAACCTCTGCCCTTGCTGTCTGAGCTGGCAAGCCAAGGCCTGATGGCTCAGTGAAGCAGGCATTGGCCCTCTCCCCGTGAGGCCCCGGTGGTCCCACCAGACTGAGAGAAAAGGGGTTGGAGGACATGGACTAGGGCAGGAGCTGGAGAGCAGAGTCCCAGGGAGCCAGCTGTACGGCTGGCTTGGGTATGGGGGTAACTAGTCTTCACCATCAGCCCCCAGCAAGCAGCTGGTTGCAGAGACCAGGGTCTCCTAATCCTAGAGCATCCTGCCCATCAGCATGAGAGTCTGGAGCTCAGGGAGGCCCTAGAGGAGTTTTCCCCATGCAGAGAGAGCAGGGCTGGGTGAGAAACCCTTTACTGCCTTTCCCCCACCTTTAGAAGCAAGACAGTGTTTTTCCACGGTTTTTATTGGTCCCCATCCAGCCCAGAACTGCTGCATCAGGGGCCCTGGCCCATGAAGAACAGAGACTGTGTTGTCCAGCACCTCGTCCACCTTCCCCACCCCAGCCTCAGCTTCCTTCACCTTGCTGCGCTCCCCAAAGGGTTTGATCCTCCCCCCCAAGGGGAGTTACTCTGCCCCAGGAGGGCGGTGAGGTGGCCCTTCAGGCCAGGATGGGGTAGGTGGCTTCAGTGGCCACACCACAGTTGTTGTCCTTCATAGCCATAAGGATGTAGCCATCGTTGCCCCAGTACGTGGACCAGGAGTTCTTGATCAGCCAGTAGGTCTCTCCCTGAAGCACACCGTAGCCCACAGCCAGCACCGCGTGGTCCAGCTCACCCGGCTTGTTTGCTGGAGGGGAGGACAGCAGAGCCAGGTCACCACAGCAGGCAGCCTTGCGCTCATGTCAACCGGTTGACTCCTCCACCCCTTCCCAAGCTGCTCAAGGGCAGTGCTAGGGAGGGAACCCAGGCATCCTGGTGGCCCAGCTCCCCCCATGCAGGGTAAAAAGAATGATCACATGGGCCTGGCATGGCCCTGGGTGCTGCTGGCCACCCATGTCCCTCATACCGCCCAACTCACCACACTTTGGCTCATAGTAGATGCCATTGGAGTAGAAGGAGAAGGTCTTGTGTGAGGCATCGATGCTCACTGCCACGGGGCCGTGCTTGTAGATAGCAGCTTTGACAGCTGTGATGTTGCCCGAGGTGACGTTGACATAGCCTGTGATCTTGCCCAGCATCTCAGACTGGTTGTAGTGGCACAAGCCATTCTGCAGCACCCAGGAAGACTGGGTCACCAGGAGCCCCCAGGTCCCCTTGCTGCTCCCACGCTCAGGGAGGGTGCGTGGGCACCAATTTGGGGTCAGGCTGCTTCAGCATCCCTGCTTTGGCCCTTCCAGCCTCCCTGGCCCACCAAGGTGGGGATGTTTGCCCAGTCACTGCCTGGGGAGGCTGCTCTGCACCCAAAGCTGGCTGGAGGCCACGTCTCTCACCCCAAGCAGCCCTGCTCCCTCTGTCTGCCCCAGGCATAGAGGGACCAGAGGCTGCAGCACCACCCACACATGGAGGGGCCTCGCCCCTGTTTGGTAAGAAGGGAAACTGAGGCAGGCAGTGACAAAACAGTCTGGCTGAGCCTTGGGACTGGGCTTTGCACTGTGCTTTGAAGTTCAGGGGATGCCTTGGGGAGAGGGAAGTTTCTCCATCTGCAGAACCTGTTGGCAGCTCCGATGCAGGGCACCCATCCCCATCGGCTGCACCAGCACCAGCCCAGGGACCCCACCAGGGCCGGGCCGCCCTCACCTGCCCCTTGTAGGTGCCATAGGACTCAGTGCTCGCGATGCCACTGTGTTTCTTGATCCACTCGTAGGCACGCCACTCCTCGCCCCCATCGCACGCATAGTTCCCAAAGCCCCAGGAGCAGTCGATGAGGACTTGCTGGGACAGGGGGGTCAGCGCCCCAGCCCCGCTCGCACCTTGAGGAAGAGGGCCCCCTCCATGGCGCCCGTCGTAGCGAAGCTCCAGCAGGACCCGCAGACGGCCTGGTCCTTCACGGGTGTCACCGCGCCTGGGGTTCACAGGGGTTAAAAGCAGGCAAATGGGAAACAGAGGCAGGCATCGAGGACACGCCGCACTCCCAAATACATCACGGACAGGGCTTAGCCGCTAACTCAGGGCTGGTGAACGCATTAACTCGCTCCGGACTGACCCTCGGGGCTATACCGAGGTGGGGGAGAAATCCAGATGTGGTGGTTCACATCTGTTTCTCCCTAGGGCACTGGGCTGAGCAAGGGCCGAGCATCTCTTGCTCGAGGAGCACTGTCGCTGTCTTGCAGGTGCTGAGCAGAGCGGGGGCACAGGGACGTCTGGGACCCGAGTGACAACACGGCCCCCCATCATGGGGATGGGGAGGGGGTGAGTTGGCCTGCTCTGACTTTGCATCGCCCCGCAGCACCCCCGGCACAGAGAGCCCATCCGTGGGCTGACTGGATTTGTCAAGTTCCTGTGTAAAGCACGTCCCAGAGGCCGTAAGTTTTGCTGACAGACTTGTGCAGCTGCACCATGCGGTACAATAAAGCTCGTAGCCAACAGGGGTCACGTATGGCTGCATCCAGGTGCCAACTTTCTGCCTTGTTTTGACACCGGGATTTGCTGGACACTCTTCGGGTCAGGCAGGAGGACGTCCTGCGTTATTTTGCTGATGCGGCTGGGGGGGGGGGGGGGGGGGGTGCAGCCCCTCCCTCATGTTGTGGACGAAGACATGCTGCCTGTGCTCCATCTCCCGCGCCGAGCCGTACCGCCGGCCGAAATGCTTCCTGTAGTGGTGAAACACCTCGTGGGCCCAGGGCTGGTGCCGTCCCACCAAGTCCTCCATGGGGTTCGCCAGGACCCGGTGCTCCACCGCGCTCCCCGGCAGGCCCCCGCACTGCTTGGTCTCTGGGACGCAAGGAGGGGAAGCCGTCAGCTCCGTGGGACCCGCGGCCGCTCTGGGTGCCGTCATCCCCTTGGGGACGGGATCGGGCCCCAGACGGCCCCGGTTTGCCATCCCCCTTCCCTTGGCACCACCCTGCCCATTTCCAGCCTCAGAGATGCTCAGTACCCCAAGGAGGGGAGCAGAGCCCCTCGGTCCACATGCACCCAGGACTGCCCTGCTGCAAAACCCTCCCCAGCTGGTCGGGATTTGGGGACCCCCTGCCCCTTCGGTCGCCCCTTCCCCATGCTGGGGAGTCCCAGGATGCTGGGGAAGAGCAGGGCTGGCTGCTGGGACGTGCCAGCGAGGGGGTCCCTGCCCTCCTTACCGTTACCGGGCAGGTCGAAGATGGAGGGGGGGAAGCTGTTGTCGAAGTCGCTGTAGGCGATCTCGTACTTGTCGTAGTGGGAGCCCAGCAGGCTGTTGTAGCCCCGCATCTCGTAGTGGACGGGCACCACGCCGCAGCTCGAGTTGGTCACCCACATGGTGTACACGTTCTTCTTCTGCGCCCAGCGGGTGACGTTCTGCCACATGGCGCAGTACCGGCCCCGGTAGTACTCCTCCCGCACAAACTGGGGGCACCAGGGTGTCAGGGCTGCGCCGAGCGGGGCAAGGACACGGGTGCAGCAGGCGGGACACTCCCCGTCCGCCCTTTGCCCGGGGAGTGCAGCCCCTGGGGGACGTCCCCGCCGCCCAAGGCACTCTATGATGCAGCTGCCCTCCCTCTCCAAAGGGTTTTGGAGTTTTCCAGAGCTGCTTTCTCTGTGCATTTCCCAACTTTCTCCCCACGTGCGCTTGTCCTGCACAGCAGCATCTCGCTGCACCGGGCCCTGCTGCAGAGCCCTGGGGCAGCACGGAGCCAAACCGCCGTGCAGGGACTTGCCTGGCCTGTCCAAAGCGCCGTGTCTGCGTGGGCTGCGACATATTGCAACACGGCTGCTGGGATTGGGAAAGAAGCGGTGAGCCCGGTCCGGGCAAGAGCTGGCTCCTCCACCTCTGGAGCCTCCCACCGATCCAGGTGGAGAGTGACCCTCCCTGCACACATGCAACATGGGTGCCCGTCCAGGCACGCGGGAACCCATGGGCCTGTCCCAGCACCCGGGAGAGGTGAGCGGGGATGGAGAGGAGCGTCTCCAGCCTCGGGATGCTCTCGGCAGTGGGTTGGAGCCAGGCTCCGGCGTTTCTCCTCCTGGCTCACCTTGAAGCCGTCCATGCTGGGGAAGACGCTCTGAGCCTTGACCACGTCCTCCTTGGAGCCCGGCAGCTGGAAGCATTTCCTAGTGTTCACTTCTTTCTCGGTGGTTTCTGGTGTGATCTTGTACCGCATCCCATAGGGCTTCACCAAGCCAAACTGGTAGGTTATCACCTGCCCTGTGCCAGCCAGAGAGGGAAACTGAGGCCCCGCGTTTCCCCACAGCGCAGCTCCACCCTCAGCCACCCTTTGCACACAAGTCTCTGGGATCTTTCTTCAGACCCCGCTAACCGTCCTGAACGCAATGCAGCTGCACCCACGCCAGCACGGGCACCCAAGGGAGCCCTGGTGTTCGCCAGGGCTCCTGCCCCACTGCATCCTCGCTCCAGCAGGATGGGGCCAGCACAGACGGGTCCCACTGCTCTGCTTACCCCCGTAATACTGGATCCGGCTCTTGTTTCCCGTCAGGTTGTACCAGGCTTCGAAGGGCTCCTCGATCTCGGCATAGGGCAAGTTAATGACTCCTGCAGGGCATGAGACAGGTCACCAAGCTGAGCCACCGTCCCTGTGGCCTTGGGGAGGTGGTGACAGCCAGGAACCCAGCCAGGCCACTTGCCGTGGCACCTCCACGCTCCCCACGCTCCTCCTCAGCTCTGCCCGAGGCACAACCCATCCCAGAGCACCCCCCGGGCAGGACAGGACAGGCGACCCCAGCACAGGCATCCTCCCGCATGTGACAGGCACATGCCAACACCCCCACAGACCCAGTGGGGAGATACTCCCCCAGCTTGGCACAGGGACAGTCTGGCCCTGCCCGGCACCAGGCATCCTCTGCTCCTGCCATGTCAACAGGGGCTGCAGGGTCCCGGCTGTGCTCAGCACCCGCTCCTGGCCCAGGGACTGCTACCTTTGACGTGGTAGATGGAGCCAAACTGAGGGCATGCGTGGGAGAGCTCGCAGTCTTTTCCTGGAAGACAGAGAGGCAGGGATCAGTCCGAGCTGGCCCCCCACAGCCAGGCTGGGAGATGGGGAGATGTGGAGGTCCAGGGACCGAGGGCTGTTTGCGTGAAAGCACCCATTCGCTGCAGCCCCTCATAGATGGCACCAGGGGGCTTGGACCAAAGCAGCTCTCCTTACCAGCAAAGACCATGCAGAGATGGACAGACCTTCCGAGGGCCACCACTGGCCACCAAGCCCTGCTGTTCTGCACCCCTAAGGAGCCACATTGCAGCTAGGGTGACCACTGGGCCCACATCCCCGTGGACAGCAGTGCCACCCCTATGGCTGGCAGCAAAGGTTTGGGTTGAGGTTTCCGAGCAGAGATGCCCAAGGCACACAGCAAAGCCTTCCCTGCGTCCCCGATGAGCGGGACATAGTTCTGGGGTGCTGGGGGACCGGCAGGACCTGCCCCAGCATGGGAGCCTGTTCATCCCCCGTGGCGTCTCGCCAGCAGCATCCCATTTCAGCTTGTGCAACCCCACGCCAACACACCCTGCCTCTGGAAACGCGACTTTCCCTCTGTCAGCATCTTCATCCTCCCAGGAACCACAGGAAAGGGGCGACCCAGCAGCACAGGGGGAAGGACTGACCCACCGTAGGACCAGGACCCACCTGGGTGCTGCTTCTCCTCCAAGACCCAGGATCACCAGCAGCCTCCAATCACCCCCTGGGGCGGCCCC